CCCCAAAACCCCAAAACCCCAAAACCCCAAAACCCCAGCCCTGTATAAATAATTTGAATTCCTTGTTTTATAATGAACAGATTTATTAAGAGATTGCAGTGGAGCCAGGCTGGGGGATGGATAAGTGGGTTAGGAGGGGATATAACTATAGTTTTGGTTGTTCTGGTAGCAACTGCTTTTGCAGAGAGGACTGTGGAAGGATATTTGAAGGAAGGATTTGATGCTGGTAGTTTGAAGGGGCCTGAAGATGATGATCATAAGAAGCCGTTTAATATTATTTGTAAAGAGAAAGGATACCCATTTGAGACACACAAAGTCTTAACTGAAGATAGGTATTGGCTGACGCTTTTCCGAATTCCAGGAGCAAAAGGAGAAACTAGGGAGGAAGCTATAGCGCAAAGAAAGCCAGCTATTTTCTTGCAGCATGGAATTTTAGACTCTGCTGACACCTGGATCATGCACTATGAAGATGAAGCACCTGCTTTTGTCCTTGCTAATGCAGGATACGATGTCTGGCTTGGAAATACTAGAGGAAATAAGTATAGTAGAGAACATCAGACTTTAAATCCTGACTACTCTGATGAAAAAGAAGAGTTTTGGGACTTCAGTTTCCAAGAGATGGCTCAGTATGACGTACCTGCCAATATTGACTATATCCGGGAGGAAACTGGCAAATGGAGGATCGGGGTTATGGCTCACTCACAAGGTACTACACAAATGTATATCAGAATGACCCAAGATAACTCTTGGTGGAAGTGGAGAGTTGCAGTTTTTGTCAGTTTGGCAGGAGTTGCTAGACTAGACCATTGTGGATCAAGTTTACTCACAACCTTAGCCCAACATGAATCTCTTATCGAGAATATTAAGAGATTAGGTGTTTATGAGATGTTCCCTGCTGATTACTTACAAAGCGCTGCTTTCTCAAGAATTTGTAAAGGATTTCCTATTGTTTGCAAACTAGCTATCCAATTAGTTGCAAATGAAAATAAGGAATTAGATGAAGAAAAGAGGCTTGCAACATTTATGGGTCACTATCCCTCAGGATGTAGTCTAAAGAGTTTGCATCACTTTTCTCAAATCCTCAATTCGAAGAGATTCCAAAACTTTGATTACGGAAAAGAAAAGAATCTAGAAATATATGGTGACGAGATTCCTCCAGAATACGATTTCAGCAATATTTACGGAAACAAGATTATTCAGGTCTATGGAACCGCTGATCTCCTTGCTACTCCTGAAGATTCCTTGTGGTTGAAAGAGCAGCTAGGAGACAACCTCATCTTCTCTCAAGAGTACGACCTTGGGCACATGAGCTTCCTTCTTGCTGCAAATATGACTTTCTTCGATGATGTCATGGAGGTATTGCAAGAGAACACCTGGTGGTAAAGTAAATCCCAATCATAATTAAGAGTTGAGGACGAACTGTTTTCAATATTATTTGGTCACAAAGGGGTTTTGGGGTTTTGGGGTTTTGGGGTTTTGGGG